TACCATCACCCACATGTTTCACAATTGGTTGAACTGAATTTATTACGTGCATGTTTCGGTTAAAAAATATGACATTATTGCATCTTCAGATCATTTCTGCTCACCAATTAAAGACTTCAAATTAATTTGATGTTACAAAATGTTGGTATGAGCCCAACTATTGTAATGGGTCCTCAACATCAAAGCCCAACCTCAGAGACACACCCTTTCTTTCCAAAAAAAAGTGGAACGTTCATTCATATATAAAGTAGACAAGAAGGGAAGGGAATGACCAGATCTATCCCTGCGATAAAATGAAACAAATCTCTAATTTTGATCTTTGATACAAACAAAACTGCCTTGTGATTTGATATTGGAATAATGATATGAACCCTATCCAACAACTCAAACAATTGGGTTAGGCAATGAGTCTTCATGTGATTGGGTAGAACCTTCCTTGAAAAACCGGTTTGTCAAGAAAAGATATCCAAACCATTATAAACCACATGTCCACCCCTTTCCCTTCCAAAGTGGGATCTTAAAACTCAAATCCCATATTCATAAATTGATGCTAATGAACAAGGTACTGGGATGTTTGACATGCAGACTGCAGGTTTAATCTAACGCATAACATTCGAAGACCATTCCGTTCAAGCATGGAGTTCAAAAATCAACAAGCAATTATGTAACGATGCACCTTAGAATTCAGAAAGTGACTTCTAATTTTACCACATCTTGCTGTTTATAATACTAGAGTGAAAGACTTTCAATAACAGTATTTAAAACCTGAAGCTACGAAGCAAAATCCAGATGTTTCTAAACTCAAATTGCACAACAGTATTTCATGGGGTCTCCGAATAAGAAGAAACAGACTAAAATCTAAGCCATCCCTTCATGGCTTAAACCAAATGCCCAAATTATACACCCAAACTAGTCTTAAAAGTGCAAAAAATAAACATAAAACTAGGGCCGTAGATATCAGTAAAATAGATACAACAGATCAAACGAACAAACAAGAAAAAAAAAATGTCCAGCACAACCGACAGAGTTTAGTGCTCGAGTTGACAGAAAGCTCCCACGGAAGTCACCAGATCATTATTACGAACCTAACTCAACAATGTATCACCTTAAAATGCAGTACAACAAACAGAAAACAGAGCACAAACCTACAAGAAATACATGCTTGATCGTACATCCCTCAGAGCCTTGTCAGTGACCTTCGCTCAGCCCTGAAACTTGCTGACACCCATAATATAATTTCCCACAGTATTAATACAAACTATCACACTATATTATGGGAGTGAAAACGTTTTTGAATGAATCGATTCATTACCCATCAGGGCAGCATTGTAGTAGAAGAATAATTGGCTCATACTGTTAGAAAGTAGGTCTCAAAAAATTCATAGCAGACTTTCGAGACCTTTGATTCTTTAGCGGAGAAGTTGATACCCCAACTGGTACTCAAAAGTATAGCCACTCATCACTCATGAAGAAAGAACTAGAGAACCAAGAGATTCTCATAAGAATCGGACACTCACAAGAAGCACAGGATTCTAATATCTAGCTTAAGACTTTGAATTTGCCTTATTCAAATGAAATGACAGTAAAGATGAAACTGATAAATGAAAATGAAAGGAAAGTACTTGCAAGTAAGCAGCACAGAAAGAAAAATACAGTTCCATGTTCAAAACCACAAACACACGAAGTACAACTCATACTTAAAAGCATGAGAATCTTTCGAGACTTGATTCGAGCACTAAAAACTAGCCTTTTCATCAAACTTTAAACTCAAGGAAAGTATGTATTGCAAAATCCAAGATGGATTATCTGCTAGAATTTGAGATAATGAACTCTTTCTGTGAAATAATCTCAGTTTCAGGCAAACCACCTCCCGTGAAAAACGCAGAATACACGATAGGAAAAACTCTGAACACATTCTCTTCTAGAATTTATACAAATCTAATCAAAACAATAACATATGATAAATTTCTGCAAGTTTAGATGTATTAGAAGAACCCCATTGAAGTTCAAATGACCGTGATCCTTATCAATATCGCCATAAAACAAGAAAACAAGAACTCTAAATCCAACTCTAAACAAACTAAAATCAACCAATTTAGGTTTGACATGAAAATTAAAACTAAAACTATATAAAACAATTAAATAAAACTTATAAATTTTAAATCCAAATCATGTGATGTGAAACCATTGAACTATAATTACTACATAGTTTACTCACATTCAGTTCTTTACATAGCAACTAGACATCGGCGACCCGACCCGTTAAGTTCCCGTCGAATCCACCATCATTCGAAAGCCGAATTCACACCCTCACAGACACTTTCATCAAACGCCACCTCATCTCCACCACCCGGTTTTAAACCGGACCCACCCGTAAACCCCAACACTGAAATCCACCAGCCCACGAGACTTCCGGTCCTCCTCGATTCTACTCACCACACTCTCGCCGACGTACTCGTCCACGGCGCCCACGGAAATCGACATGCGTCTCGTTTCCCTTATCCTGCGCGAACGGCGCCAGCTGCGTCGTCGCGAGCTCAATCCGGCGTACGCCACCGACGCCTGGAGGGAGTTGTACGAGATCGCGAGCTTCTCGTGGGGTTTTAACCGTCAGGGTGAACTGCCACGCGGCGGAAAGGGAGGATGTTGACTCGGTGGTGTTGGTTGGGAGACGGAGCCCGAGTCGACTCGGAACTGGGGAGTTGGGGTCGAAGACGAGCCACGTGATGAAGGAGGCCAAGGCCATACGGTGAGGAACGCGAGGACCATCACGATGAGACGGCGGAGAAGCGTGGACCCTGCTCGACGGTCGGGTTGATATAGGAGGTGGGGTCCACGTGACTTTGGGGGGTTGTGGCGGCGGCGGTGGGGCCGCGTAGGCGAGGTGACCGGATAGCCGGTGACGGCCTTGTCCGTTTGAGAGGGTCTTGGGCCTGGGCTTGGGCTGAGATGATGTGCCGCTGTCGCCATTTCTTTTAATTTTCTTCTTCTCAAAAGAGTTGAGAGTTTTGAAAGACAAAGACTCCTCAGAGAAGAAAACTAGAAGAAAAATTAATAAATTAAGAGAGAGTTTGTTTCGTTAGTTTATTTGGGAGGGAATCTCAACGCCAGTGAGCTGCCGGAAAAGAGAGAGAAACAAGACGGATGAGCTGTTAGTGTACACGTGGCATGTTGGAGGAGTGGAAATTTTGAAGTGGTGTTATAGTTAATTGTAATACCATACCGTTAATGGAATACCGTATTATGGAATTTGTTTTAGTTAAAACACATATCGCTCAGTGAGACTGTTTTAGGTGAGGAAGAAGGGTTAGTATTTTGTTGTTTTAGTGGGATTCACTTAAAACCTCCTTAAAATTCACCACAAAACATACAAACAAAACTCATCTTCAACAATTGTGTCAATCACTTTAAAAAAAAAAAAACTTCCCTAAAATACAGTATAAAACTCACATAAACAAATCAACAAAACCAAACCATGTGTGCCGTCGCAAGGATCCGGGTTGAGGAGCTTGCGGTGGCCAAAGAGCTTCTCGCGGAGGTCATGTGACGGATTTTTTGACACCCTAAAGTTTTAGTGAAAAGACGTAAATATCCAAGTTTTCGAAATGTACACCATCAACAAAAAGTGATGTGATATACTATTGAGTTAACAAACTCATCTATAACTCAATCAAACTCTTATCTTCTTTCTCTTATTCTTTTTTTTTTTTTTTTCTCTCTTTATTTTATTCTTCCATTCGTCTGTCTCACTCAACTTGACCCGCTTGACTTTGAAAAATTTTCAAATGACAATTAAATTTCACATAAATACTTTGGGCATATATATATATTATATATAAAATTAATTTTTAAATTTACAAAATACCTTATACCTCACAACTATACTAAACTTACACAAAATTATACTCCCTCTGTTTCACAATAATAGTTGTTTAAGGTTATGCACATTTTTCAATAAAACATTCTCTCTCTCCTCTTACTGACTCCTCCTTTTGAAATACAGGTGGAAAATTTTTGGTTTTGTGCTATAAAAGTGTGAAAGGTTATTGAATTTAATATCTATATATTATGTCATTTTCCTCTCCTATTTCATCTGTTACTGACTCCATTCTTATGACTTGCATCTCCTCATTCTGTTTCGTTACTCACCATGGCCAAACAATGTAATAGTAGAAGTGTGCTTGGGGAAATCGATTTGAATGTTCTTTAACCTATAGAAGCTACGAATGAAGTTGATGACATAGCTAAGGAAGTGAATACGCATGGAGTCAGAAAAAATTACAAATGAACAAAGGCAAGCTATTTTTGAATCTCTGTTGAAGCGAAGTGTCAATGGACAATTAAAGAAAACACTACATCTAAGGTGGCTCAATTATTTTCAGTAGTATGCGTATAGTCCAACGCATCTGTCAACGAGGAAAAGAAAATGAAAGATGGATTCTAACACTAATGTGTCTAGCAAAAAGGCATTAAATTGCGGGCGCAAGCGTCTTCAAATTGACGTCAATCAATTTCGACATATTCCATTGCGAAGAAGGATGACACTTAGGTATTTATCTACTGCCACAAATTTGTCAATGACAATGTTGTTTAGGCAATTGAAAGAGGGCTCTATATGTCATCATTCAAATGCTATAAAACCTATATTAAAGGTGGAAAACATGAAAGTCAGAATATGCTTTTGTTTATCGATGATTGAACAAGGCAACAACCCCAATTGTTTGAGGTTTGTAACCATGGAAAATATTATTCATGATGATGAGAAGTGGTTCTACATGACAAAGCAGTTAGAGAAGTATTACCTCCTTCCTGACGAAGATGAGTCTTAATGCACATGTAAGAGTAAGACTTTTATTACTAAAGTCATGTTTATGGCTGTAGTGACACACCCAAGGTTTGATGAATCATGGAATGAATTATTTTCTGGAAAAATCCGGATATTTCTTTTCATAAATAAAGAACTTGCAAGGAGGAGCAATAAAAATTGTTTTGCAGGAACCATGGAGACTAAAACAATCAATTCTATTAATAAAGAAATTTATCGATCTTACATAGTTGAGAAACTCTTACTGGCTATCCGAGATAAGTGGCTAAGAATTGATGCAAGAAGTCCAATATTTATCCAACAAGACAATGCGAAACCTCATATTGGTTTGGATGATGAGTATTTTCAAAGTAATGCTACTAAGGATGGCTTCGACATACGTTTGATATGTCAGCCTCCGAATTCTCTAGATATGAATGTTCTAGACCTTGGTTTTTTAAATGCGATACAAGCACTACAATACCAACAAGCTCCCAACTCTGTAGATGCGCTCATAGAGGCTGTTCAAAAGTCATTTGAGGAATACTCGCCAACAAAGTTGAATCATACGTTTTTAACTTTACAGTCATGTATGATTTCAATTTTGAAAGTTGGAGGTTTGAGCAAATATAAGGTTTCGCACATGAAAAAACATAGGTTGGAGGGACAAAATTGTCTTCCTATCCAGTTAGATTTCGACCTCGAGTTAATTGGAGAAGCAATTGCTCAATGTCAATAACTGTTATAATTGACCTATATGATATTTTAGATTATTTTGTTTTGTCTATGATGTTCATATGGGTTCTGATAAGATATTGTCTTTTAGGAGTAGTTCATGTTTCATTTTGATTTCTGTGTTTTTTGCTGTAAAGAAATTCTACTCCAGCAAGCAAGAAAAGAACTTGTTCTATTTTGTAATATAAGCTTTTGTTATGGTAATATATAAGAATAAAAGAATGAGTCCTAACCAAAAGACCCTACAAAGTCACGGTCCTTGGACAAGCCTAAGAAACCAAAGCAAGAACAACAAAAAGAAAAACAAGGATTACAGTCCTAACAAAACATGTAGTTAGTCTAAGAAATACTAGACAAAAAAGGCCAACAGTAAAAAAAGCAAGCCATCTGGGCATAAAGCAAACTGCACAGTCTGTACACAAACGTCCGCAGCCAAAAAGTCTCAAAACTCCAACCACCCTCAAGGAAATCTAGCAAAAGCTTCAATCCCAGCCAACAGAGAAACCAAGACTCACCATAGCAAAACTCCTACAAGGCACACCCAAGGATAGGAGAAAACAAGCAGCATCTCCTGGCAAAAAGCGAAATCCAACAAAGAAGGTTTTGTAACCAAATCCATGACTTGCATCTTGGGGCAGCCACACGCCCTTCTTAACACTAAAGGCCCCGCAACATAGGCCAAAACAAAAAATAGGCAAGAGTTACCAAAAGTGAGCCAAAACCCAAATAAAAAGCAACAACTAGCTGAGAAAAACTTAAACACCTAAAACACCTAACGATCACTCTCACCAAGGAGTACAAGGCTCGATCGTCTCTTGGAGGCCACGCGAGCCATAACAACAGTGAACATATCACACTAACAGGCACTTTATAGACTTCGACATATGTAAAGGAATCAAGTAAATCACCCAATACAGATTTTTGTTCATCATTGTTCTAGCTCTTGATGAACATTTTTGTTCATCATCACCCAATACCGAATTAAGGTTGTTAATTAGCTCTTAAGAGTAGGACAAACATTGGACTTCTTTAACACCATTTTCACGAGCTACGCACAATTCATGATATAAGGCTAAATATTCTGCATGTAGTGTGTTAGAAGTTGACACATATTGTTCTAGTAAAGTCAAATTTCCACAACGTGTATCATGCATTACAACACCCACTGCTGATTTTTCCTGGTTATTCCAAACTCCAGAAATTTCAATTTTGACAATCGGTCTTGATGCACCTTCTATATTGTTTTTTGCAACATGTACTATATAAGAGAAAATATTGTAACAAATTAACTGAATTGACGAAAGCAAAAAAAGTGTATTGACATCGACCATAAAAAAAAAATTAAATAAAACCTCCACTATTGACATCCACCATTCCATATTGATTTGCAATACTTGTACTGCCTTCAGTGTTAATTAATTTAACCTCACTGTTGATGTTATGATTATCTTCAAAATCTAAACATTCATAAATTGAAAAGTCAAATGAGTCATGCAACAATGTACCATTATCAATTTTAAAAATAATAACCTTAAGAAAACACAAAAAAGTCACTTACATGATAAAGGTGTTAGTAAACGGTCCCATATACGCAGCGAAAACAAAAAAATATAATATAAGGATCGTTTACATAAGCCAAGATCAAGGATATAATTTTACAATTTATATTAAAGTAAAATCTGCACAAAAGGTTATTCATGAGTTTAGAAACATACGCACGTTTGGAGGCTTCACCACGTTTTTCTTTGAACGTTTTGCTACCGATCCAAGCGTAGGATCGAACCCACGTAGTCCACACGAAGACAATCACAAAAGAACCAAAGAGGGATTTGCTAGATCCTCTTTGGCTTTAAGATTAAGAAGAAAGGAAATCAAATCGAATTGATTTTAGGCAAAAAGTGTTTCTGCCGTGGGAGAGAATGAGAGGGGTTGCTGTGTGTTTTTTTTTTTAATTTTAAAGAGAAATCAATTTTTTTTCAATTAACACACACTTTTCTTTTATAGTAAATCAAGTTGCCCTATTCCCATATGGAACAGGCTTGGGCTCCAACCCAAATACCCCATGTTACCAAATACTCCCAATTTGATATTTTATTTTCCATCATTATCTCAATTAAAATCAATTAATATATATTTAATATATATTAACATTTAACAATAATGATAATATATTTAAATATGTACGAACACATATTTAAACGTAATTTCACTTATTTGATTTATCTAACAAATTAAATAAAGGCTACGACCTCAGCAAATTTAATTACACTGTAAAATTACCAAAATACCCTTTGCCTAAAAAGACGAAAATACCCTTCTCTCTTATTGGCTCTTAAATTATCTTCTATGTGTGTGACCCATAGGCTCCTCATTGTACCGGCAGTGTATAGTATCGCGATTAACACCAATTAATGGTCTCACTATACACAGACCAAGATTGGCCCCTAGCAAGGCATCATGGCCCCCTGATAGATTTGGATTCAGCAGAGCAGCTACCTGTCAATAATATGGTTACCGTACAATTTGATCCTTTCATCATACGTTATCTCGACGAGACGAAGGCATAGAAATAGTGTCAACCTTCGATTACTCTCGATATTATGTATTCAGTTTTTGGACCAATGACCTGTATTATAACCCGAATAGAGCAACAACTCAATCCCACTGTGGCCACAGTTTTAGAGTCATTGCCATATATTGAATTGCGCCGTGAGATAACTTCTCCTGTACCCGGGAGTGATGAATCCTCTGTCTATCCACCATAGTCTTGATACACTCCTCGATGCAGCCAATCACCATCGTATTGACAGCTCTGAAAAGAACTACTTAGGCTAGTGTCAAACTGCACCAATCGGTGCACAAGGTGCTCTGGTGATCTCAAGTCTAAGGATCACATGCACCACCATTCATTAGAAGATTTATTCCATAGACACTAGGGTTACCATCCATATGGAATCCTCTAAGGGGTCAGTCCAGTGAACTTGCTACGGTGTATTCGCCCACAACAAGCACCCATGTGTTGCACCAGGTTGTCACCAAACAACCTTGACAAGTGAGATCAGTCACTGTCTTTCGACAGGGTCGTTTAACACTATAATAGCCTTACCGTATTATCTCTGCCCTTACTTCAGAATAATACTGGGGCTATGGACGTTTCTAGAATGGCCACCATATGTCCTCATAGGGTTCTCACTATCAAGATTTGAAACACTTGATACCCTCGTCACGGTTCCACCATTCTAAGGACATATATCAATACATATTGCAATAATAATGATTCACGAGATATAGATTAAAATGCCTTTTATTGATTAATGAACATTATTACAAAGAGTCAATTCTACAATAATTGATTGGCTCTAGGGCATCTACTCTAACAAAATGCACCGTTAACATCATTTGTTCTAATTCTTTATTTGAAAGTTTACAACTTGTAATCTCCACTGCGTTTATAGCCTGATGTATTTACAGGACCTCAATTTCCACCTGGAAAACTAGGCAATAGCGATAAGACCGAAAAATTGACAAGCTAATTAGGGTTAAGGCTTATTCTAGAAGAAACTAACTTTCTGTTTGGTAGCCAATTTCCAGAACACAATAATGCAACAACATCAAAAATAGTCAACCATAACATTTTTTTTTCTTTCTCACACACATTTTACTTCACAAATAAACAAAGCACAAAACAGTGGAGGCAAGGCAATTAAATGCTATCAAAGCTACTTACTAGTGAACTCTTCCAAGTTCTTCTGTTAAGCCCTGATCAATGAACCTACAAAATTCTTCAAATTGTATCTGATTAAACCTAAGTATTGTAGACATTCCCACATTTCCATCTCTGAGCATTTTGAATTTCCCATTTATCAAAAAATCCCATTTTTGCATCGAATCAAGGAAGAAATACCTGCCACTCAACCGTCTTCCAGAAAGCCCAAAGAGGAAAAGTCTCGTGTGGGCTTGTTCGCTTGATGGGTCTTGGTCACTGCTAGATTGAGTAATGCTTGAGTCACAACATCAAGGTCTAACCCAAATTGAGCAAGGGCAGCCACTTTGCGATTGAAAATCTCGATAACTTAAACAAAAATCCAACTTTATCTTTTTCTAAAAAAATGGAGAGGCTACAAAGTACACAAGAGATCGTAGCATACGTGCTTTCAATTGAAAGAGTTCTTCCTTCCTTTTTGTAGGTTCTACAACCTTAGTAATCAAGAAAGGAATTTTCTTATTTAACTCATCTGGTTTGAAAGGGCACATAATAGTATCGGTTGAAACCCTTTCCTTGCAAAAGGATTGATTCGACTACGTTGCTTTCAAAGGGTTACTCGGTTTCACATCATGAAATACTCTCACGGCTATTTAGGAGAATTGCAATCTTCACTTTGTATCCCCGACTATCTGGTTGGACCAGCTTAGTGATCCTTAGAGTTAACTATCTCTCCGGCTTTACACTACTAAATGATATGAGCAGGTTGGAGTGCTAAGAATTCCAAATACACAGTCTCTAATCCCTTGATCTATGATGTACTCTTCTCAGAGCCACTCTTCACCTGCATTTGAGAGAGAGAGAGGAGACGAGGGGCATAGATAGAGAAAGGGAGAGAGAGATGAGAGCCAAAGAAAAAGTGGAAGAGAGGAGACAAGGCCCATTCGTTGAGAAAGAGAGAGAAGGTTGAGTAACTTTTTGGTCAAACGTCTTTTATTTTGAAAAAAGATAATAGCCTTAAAACGACTATTATTGTGAAACGGAGGGAGTACCTTTTATTTAATTGCACAAAGAACAAAATCAATAAAGTTTGTATATATAGTATTTTCATATACTTTATGAAATAAAGATTATTTCTAAAATTCGGTTGTCAAATTAAACTACTATAATTCTTGTGTCTCAATATTTTTTACTTTAAAAAAAAATCATATCAAAATGCTAAAGTTACAATTAAAGATAAACATCAAGGTTATCATTATTATCTTAAAATTTTAACAAATTAGAAGGGTATATTTTGGTGC